ATCTAAGCAACAAAAAAATCTTGAATTAGAAAAAAATATCTTTTTTGATATTAGTACTATAGAGAAATCCGAAATCTGCACTTGAGATCTTAAAATATTATTTATTCAGATTATCATATTTAAGACATATAATTTATTACCTATTATTAAATCTTTGTGTTTGTTGTAACAGAAATATAAATAAATATTGTTGTCCATTTTGGTAATTATAATATTAAATTTTTTAAAGATTATCTATTTTTAATAAAATTTTTTTTTTTATAATCAAAGCTAGCCTCTTTGGATTAACATTTTTATTAGATATACTAGAGATTACTAGTTGTCACAAAAAGGCCCCAGATATAGTATATTTTGATAAAAATACACATAGATATATATACAACTTTAGTTATTGCTTATTTAAGAGCTCTGTTATATTACTATAGTTACTCTCCATATACTATATCTAAGATTTGCTTGTGGATCTCTATTTAAACCCTCTGATCTGAACTATTCTATACCAATCTAATCTAATCTCACCTAGAGTATAAGGTATATTAGTTATTCCATACTCCCAGATTATTACATAAATAAAATTTTTTCTAAAATAAAATGAGGGTCAAAAAAAAGTATATGAAGTTCTTTTTGTAAATTTTATAATTATATAATCTACTTCTCTATCTCACTTAATATGATAGATTAAAATGAAATCAGATTAAAATAATTTTTTTTAATTTTTAAGAAAATTTAAAATTTTTTAAAAAAAATTTTTGGAGGTTTTTTTTAATATTAGAGATCAGATTTAGAGTTAGAGTTATTAATAAAAGAGTATATGTAGACTTATAAGCTTTAATGATGAGCAAAAGAGGTTTCCAATTTCATTTTAATCTGATTTTATTATAATTTATGATACTTAATATTTTTGACTAAAGATTCTTATTCTACTTGATTTTAGAATAAACTTTCTAGTTTGGATACTAAATATACAAAGAAGTCTATTAAAAAAAAAACTTAACCCAAAATACAAATCTATATAATATCTTCATATACTAGTTCTTTAGTATTTTATATATTATAGACTTTATTAATAATAAGTCTGCTTATACAAACCAAAATTATTATAATACTGTATTTATTTTATTATTTTCTATATTATTTGCTATAATTTGGTAAAATTGTTATTAACTATGAAATCATTTGAAAGAGTTATTTTATAATTGTGATAAATATTATATAATATCTTAATTAGAATTAAATAATTTAGTATCTTATTGAGATAATCAAATTAGAGTTTAGAACTGAATTCGGTTTTTGATTTTAAAACCGATTTTATTCGATTCAAATCTGAATTCGAATATAAAATTTATCTAATACGAAGACTGGTTTTAATAAAACTAGAGATATTCAAATTTATACAATATAATCGTATAAAATTCAATTTGTTTAATTACAAGTAACAATATTAATAATGTGAGAAATTCAGTATAATTACTAAACTATATTTAACTTCTATGTCTTTGTTATTTTACTTTACCAAAGAAACGCTAATAGCAGAATGCTTAAAATATTAAAGTAGAATAAATAAACATGCTTATAATTGAATACTCGATGCACTTTGAATATTTTTGTTAGAAGTGATAATTCTTTTGAAACAAATATACTAGAGAATCTAAGCTTTATTTCAAGTATTAAATTCTCTACAACTAAATTATAATAATCACACTATTAGTTTTATTTATTATTATTATCTTCCAAAATAGATGCACAAGGTAGCGATCACTTGTATAACAAAGAACTAGTATTATATAGATTGAATTTGTGCTAATAACCTTATTACAAGATAATTCAGGTTATTATATATAATGGGTAATAACATAACTTAGTAAAGACAAATCAGAATTTTGTTTTAATTATCAAGTTTTAAAAGTTAGATTATTATAGCGAAAGTTTTCTTATTATTTTTTTTAAAAAAATATAAAAGTAATAAATTTTGCTATAAAATGAAGTAATTAAATTGATTCAACAAAATATGACTATGATCAATTACTAATTGATTAATAAGCTATGATTGATAAAATATAATTATGATTGATTAATAAAATATGATTATGCAAAGTAAGTTAAAATAAAGTTACCTTCGCTATTTTATATTTAATAAAATATGATAATAGTAGTTTGCAACAATTTGTTATTTTCTTGTTCATCTATTCCATTGCTAAAATTGTATAACTAAATAAAGTGTCTAAAGCTGAATCTTCAACCACTAGTCACAAAAAATATGAAAGTAATTTAGGAAAAATTATTAGTCATAATAGAGCAAACAAAAGTCATACTACTTATTTTTTTGACAACGATCCTGCTAATAATAAAATAGCTTACTGCAAAATATGTAAGCGAAATTTGGATAGTACAAATAAAAAACCTTACCCTTATAGCAGAAAGGAGGTTTTACTTCAAATATATCTACTCATTTATGAGATAAACACAAAATTATCGTAAATATTTAGATACAAACAATGAGGTAAATATATTACTAAACATAAAATTTAAGATATAATATCAGATTTAATTTTATAATTTTTAATTATATAAATTAGCCAAAACAAGATGATTTACAAATAACTCGATGTAGCAAGGCTTGACAATATAAACTTTTATGCCTTTTAATTAAATTCATAATTAAAAATGTACAACCATTATATGTTCTTCAGGATACTGATTTGCAAGAATTGCTTCATGCATATGAACCTGGTTTTCAAATTCCATGTGAAAAAACAGCAAAAAATTTGATTTACGAAGCTTACTTTTGGTACAAAGATCAATTATATAATCTACTTAAAGAAACAGCTATATCAATTAATTTTACTACCGATCTTTGGATAGTCAAAAGTAATTATGGATATATTGAGGTGATAGCAACCTGGCTTACTTCTAATTATGAATTTTATGAGGTCTTACTTACTTGTAATAATTTGGATTATCCATACACAGGTCAAATTATTAGTGATGAACTATATCAGATTATACACCAATAGGATCTTAATAATAAGATTTTTACTGTTGCTACCGACAATAGTGCTAACATGATCAAAAGCATATCGGTTCTTAATAAACATTTATCTAATATTAAAAGACAACCTTGTGCTGTACATACTTTACAGCTATCTGTACATGAGAGCTTAAAACAATGCAAAAATATATATTACAGAATTAAAAGTTTACAACATTTTTTTAGATCACCAAAACAAGCACAAAGATTGCATAAAGCACAAGATAAAAATATTGCAAATCAAAATAATAAAGCTGTAAATAAAAATATTGAAATATCAACAAGCCTATTAGATATTTTAACAGACACTAGAACTCGCTAGAATTCTACTCTAATTGTATGAAAACGTCTTCTTGAGCTACATAATTCAATGTGTCTAGTTTCAGCATCATTATTATCAAAGCAAGATTCTTTGTCTCAAAAAGAAGGAGAAAAGTTAGAACATTTGTGTTTAACTCATGAAGAAAAAATGTAATATATATTATATACAATTAATTTTTTAAAAAAATAATATAAGTTCTTAATATTTATTAATTTTATTAGATTTGTTCAAGAAATAGTCAAATTATTAGAACCTTTTGAAATTATAACATGACGACTATCAGGTGCCAAATATCCAACACTAAATATTATACATCCATATATGTATACACTTAAACAAATGTTCGCACCAAAACTTGAAAATAGTGAAACAATTGATAATTATTTAGATCTAATTTATGGACCATCAACAGATTCAATAGAAGAAGATAGTAATTCAAGTTCTATAAGTGATAATGATAGTATTCCAACAGCTGAAAATTGAAAGCATTGGCAATATGCACATCGATGTTTTAGACAACAAATAAAATATAAGCAAGAATCTGGTCGTTGTCATGGTGGTCACAAAAAAAGTCATATTACAAAAAAGAAAAAAAATTGTGAAATTGAAGATACAAATAAAATTGAATATTTACCCCCAGCAGATACTACAAATCTTATTCAAAAAGTCCGTGCTGCTATTTACTTTTCTTTAGATGAATTATGACAAATACCAAGTGAAATCTCTTTGCTAGCAACAATATTAGACCCACGGCTAAAAAATTTTCCATTTTTAAAAAGTTCTGACTATATGCAAAAAATTCAGGCTGAATCACTTTTGAAAAATTTATATAATCAACATAAACAAGATATGATAGTCTCAAATCAAGCAGAAAAAACAATCGAAACAAGTTTAATTGAGGATGAAGATGATGATATATTTACAGAAATGTGAACCAATAATAGATCAGAAAGTATTGAACAAACTGAAGATGAGATTGTACGATATTTAAATTATCCAGATGAACCAAAAAAAAATGGATCCATTGGAATGGTGGCAAAAACACAAAATAAGTTTTCCTATCTTATCACAATTGGCTTGCAAATATCTTGCAATCCCCGCAACTTCAGTTCCCAGCGAACGACTTTTCTCGGATGCTGGCAACCACATCTCATCAAAACGAACAAGATTGTCTCCTGATTTGGTAAATCATATCTTATTTGTAAAACGTAATAGTGCATATTATCCAATGTTTCCACCCCGACATTAGAGCAATGAAAGCCTTTATTTTTTTTTAGCA